AGGAGGAATGGTACTTTACTCATCCAATTTTGTGACAGTTTTAAGGTTGAATAGCAGCGTTGTCACAAGGGTGCAGAGATAGATTCTGCTGACAGGCAGCTGAGCTCAGATGTGAGACTGACCTGAGCTTGTTGCCCAGATCTGCCCCTCACTTGTTGATGTACACCTCTTCTCACCGCCCCCCCTGACTATAACGGGCTAGCCGTTCCTGTCCACTGAGTCACCACAGAATAGACTGGATAGCATACCTAAGATACTGAGAACAGCATACTGCAGACAGCCAGCGCAGTGCACATGACTAGTGAATGGAAAAGTAATGCACACTGCTAAGTGTGGGTGTACAGTGATATAGGCTTTTTGGAATTTATTCAGGCTTTATTACAATTTTTAATGCACTTTTTTATTATTCCATTCCCTTTTTTGGGAGGAGGGGGCGGGGGACATAATTGTACAATATGCTGTTGTAAAATATTTAAAACTATAATGACATTGTAGAATAATGTCATGTAAGGATATGCTTTGCTCTAGGCCATGGCAATTCAATTTCAAACTGTCAATTTCTTTTTGTAACTTTATATAAACTTTGTCAGGGAGGCAAAAACCAAATTACTTTAGTTCAAGAGGCCAAATATATTGACTTTCAATTACAATCCTTACGACTTTTGAAGGAAACTTCTTTTTGTTTCCTTCTCCATTCCCTTCTTAATGATCTATCTTACAGTTCTCTTTGCAGCCATATAAAAATTAAGGTAACTTATCATATATTTACATTACTGAATACATCTAACAATTAAGAGAGGTCAGCTTGTGTATTCAGTTCACATATTACACATGGTCATCTGTATACATATGCATACTTACCTGGAAAGATCCGCAAGATGGTACATTTAGTGAAAAAGCAAGTTGCAGAAGAATATACATACTGTGGCCCTGCATTTCTTCTAATGTAAATGTCTTGTGTGTCCACATATTTTATATGTAAATGCACATTACAGAGGCTGAAACTTCACATTGAGGTGTTGGTGGTGGCTGCCTGCGGGCAGGGGAGGGTCTGCAGGAACTTTTGCCGTGTATTCTTGCACAATGTTTGACCTGCACATACTCGGGTGTGCTTGTGTCATTTGTTTTAAAATTTCATGGAAAGAAAACTTCACAGTGAACAAGAAGGAGCTCAGTCTTCTAATCCAGAGGCCAGGAAAGTGCCAAGAAAGGACACAAGATAGAGTCCAGGTCTGGGCCCGGGTCTGGATCTCACCAAGCCTACACTCACTCAGCAACTAGGTTACATTTCTGACCTGTGACACAGGGGAAGAGTGGAGCCCCGTAGGTTTGTAAATTAAGGCAGTAACCATGTGTGAGGGCTCAGAAACACAAGCATCAACCGAGCAAGACTGTGTCATCAGGCAGGAGGTGCTGTGGCCTCCAGGTCTTGCAGAAACATCTAGGGGGCAATATCAGGACTCTGTCATCTGTGGCAAAGCAGAATGATGAGGCTGAGCACTAAGTGTAGGAATTCACGTGCTCTGTTCTGCCTTTTTGCATATCTGCCAAGAAATGAGTCAAGGTCTAGTTGTCTCTGACTAACAGGGACTCTATTAAATATGAATTCACTAGAGGCCTGGTGCATGAATTCATGCACCAGTGGGGTCCAGCCAGCCTGCCTGGATTGGCCGATTGGGCCCAGCTGGCCAGGGGGAGGGGTTGCAGGTAAATGGTGGGCTGGCCCACCCCCAATTGGGATAGGAGGGGCTGATTGGGGGTGGGGCCAATCAGAGGGAGGGGCCAAAGGCAATTGGCTGACTGGCCCCATCCCTGATGAGGGGGAGGGAGAGAGGGTCAGAAGAGGGGGGCAAAGCAAGCTGCAGGGAGGGGCTGTGGGTGGTTGGCAGGCCAACCTCACCCCCTGGTCTAACTCCTGTAGAGGGGACAATTTGCACATTAGCCTTTTATTATATAGGATTGTGATAGGGGTTGAAGTACTATAAGATTAATGTCATTGGTTGACATTTTAAGTGAGAATTCTCAGTCTTTTGTAATTATTTTATAGACGTAATTGAACATTTCCTTTAATAAATGCAGCTCTAATTTAAGGTGTTTAGTACATTTTAGAATGTTGCTTCTCATTCACTATTAAACATAGGAAAGTGGATCTGGCTGCTGATCCACTGACTGCATGCCGTTGGATCTTAAGGAAAGCTTACCCTCCTGGCTTCTTGATTACTAAACATCAGTGTTCTCGAATCGTCCGACCTTGGGCCATGCCATGGCACGTACAGCCTGCACTTTACTCTCATGTGGCTTTTTAATACAGCATATGAGTTCCCGGGGGTTGTCTTAACACATTACCTCCCACCGGGTGCCTGTGCACTCAGCAGCCAGTCCTCTCACAGTTCTAGGGTGCAGAAGGCTGGGCTCAGGGTCTCAGCAGATGGGTTTCTTCCAGGGGCTTGGAGGGACAATGGGTTCCAGGCCTCTCTCCAGCTTGTGGTGGTGCCAGCAGGTCTTGCAGAAACCTGCCAACACTACCTTGGTGTTTCTTGGCTTGTAGGTATGTCACCCTCGTCCTGGCCCCTGTCATCGCAGGGCCTCCCCTCTGTGTCTGTGTTTCCTTTTTCTCTTCTTGGAAGGACACTAGTCGGTGGGCTAAGGGCCCATTACCCTACTCCAGGAAGGCCTCGTCTTAACTGCTCGTATCTGCCAAGCTCCTGTTTCCCACTGAAGTCACATCCAAAGGTCTAGGCATTAGAACTTGGACACATCTCTGTGGGGACACAATTCAACCCACAACAGGTATTCAGGCTCATGGTTTCTGACTCTCATCTGGGCCTTTGCCAAGTACAGTTGCAGGTGAAGAAGTCCTGGCTGCAGGCAGGTTCCTCTCTTATATTTCAAACTTCTGATGTGTCAGGCTCTTTGGAAAAGGAAAAGCCAAGGAAACAATATAGAGCCCATGTAATTTCTTATTATTTGGTTCTTATTATTTGGGCAGACTTTTTTTTTTAATCCTCATGCAAGGATTTTATTTTATTGATTTTTGGAGAAAGAGAGAAACATTGATCTGTTGGTTGCCTCCCACACATGCCTTAATCTGGATTGAACACCCACAACCTGGGTATGTGCCCTGACCAGGAATTGAGCCCACACCTTTTTGGTGTACAGGATGGTGCTCCAACCAACCGAGCCACTTGGCTAGGGCAGCTCTGCCCTTTTTGGTTGCTACAGAAAAATTCTATTTCCAGGGTCTTTTATGCCTCTCTTTTTATTGAGATTCTAGAGGCCTGGAGCACGAAATTAATGCAGGGGGAAAAGGACTGTCCCTCAGCTCAGCCTGCACCCTCTCCAAAATGGGACCCCTCTAGGGATGTCCGACAACCAGTTTAGGCCCAATTCCTGCAACTACTCACAATCTGGGACTGCTGGATCGTAACTACTTGCCTGCCTGCCCCTAACCACTCCCCTGCCGGCCTGATTGATGCCTAACTGCTCCCCTGCCAGCATGATCATCCCCAACTGCCCTCCCCTGCCAGCCCAATCACCCCAAACTGCCTTCCCCTGCAGGGCTAAGGGGGTTAGGGTCTGAGGCTAGATGAGGCTGGATGCTGCGGAGACTGGTTGAGGCGGGGTTGAGGGGACTGGGGGACTCTTACTGGATGAGGTGGGGCTGAGAGGACTGGGCACCTCCATCTTGTGAGAGCATGGCAGTCAATTAGCATATTTCCTCTTTATTGGCTGTGGGCTGCCATCTTATGAGGACATGATGATCAAATAGCACATTCCCTCTGTATTAGATAGGATAATTGACATATAACATATACTCCTTTTAAAAATATACTAGTTACTTGATTCAAATGAAATCTCCTTTTGAAAATTTAACTTTCACGTTTCCTCATTCATACTTTTATGTTTGTGATATTTGGAAGCTAAATAGCAAACTTCTATTTTTATAGTCCAGTCTTTAGATCCTAAAACTACATTAAACATTTGTAGATGGAAAATTACAAAAGTAATGTGATGTTTATGGAATAATCTTTAGTTTGCAGGGATAAAGCCCATGATCTTGAAAAAATTTTCATTTGTTTGCCAGTTTAGTTAGACAGTAACTGCTAGACACTACTGCAGGGGCGGGGAACAGCAGTGATCAGGAGGTGCACACTGAAGGAGGCAACACAAGAGAATCAGAGGATACCCTCTGGACTGCTGGGAGCTGGGAGCAGGTGCATATTTAAGCCACCACAGAAGACAGGGAAGGGCACAGTCATGAAGCCATCTGCGGAACTTCCAGGAAGAGGCCAGGAGGAGTGCAGAAGCCCCCAGGTGGGGCGAGGTGGACTGGGCACTGGAGGAGAGTGAGAGTGGAGATGAGTGCAGGAGGGCGGGGTCAACCATGGAGCCCAGGGGCCTGGCAAGATGGACCGTGGATGCAGAAAAACTACTTTATCCAAAACCCCTTATCCTGTGACCATAAAGCATTTCACAGCATGTCTCTCATCTGAACAGTGTGCCTAAGAACCCGCTATCCAGAATGGCATAGCATCAGCCTCATTTTATATTCTCACACATCGAGTTGCATTTGAGCCTACACCGGGCACGCTGAGCTTGGGCTGGATAAGTAGAATCCTCTCATTTACATTCATTGTTATCATCGTGTTCTTAGAATTGTTGCTCTCCCTTTTTAACCATGTCCAAAACTGGAACATGTTATCTTGCAGAGACAGGGTTGGAGAGAGAGAACTGAACTAGTCAATCTGTGGTGGGTGTATATGGGAGGAGCAGATGCAAACGCCGTGATGTGTCTACGCTTCTGAGGTCCTTTTAAAATTTCTAGAAACCCAGAAGTAACACTAACATATCAATAACAGGGCCCTTACAAACTAGGAACCCTGGAAATGTGGCAGCCAGTCCCTCGGGGCCCGGAGTGGCTGCCTGTGGTGTGCATGGATCCTCATGTGCTTAGGATGACGTCATTGCCTCTGTGTATTCAGACCAAACTGCTCTTACAGGCCCACGGATGACAGCAACCAGCCCCCCGGCCGGGGCGTCCTCTCCATGCACGGGCTGACGTACGGGGTCATCCGGGTGGACTCGGAAGAAAAGTTGTCAGTACTCACCGTGCAGGACGTCGGCCTGGTGATGCCCGGAGGTGAGAGCGGGCCCTGGGCCACAGACACTGCGGGAGAGCAGTCAGCACCCCAGGTGTGGAGGGATCGCTGGCATCCCCGGCCCCTCTGGCAGGAGTGCTCACAACGATGCTTAATGCCAGTCTCCTCCTGTTCGTTAAGCTTCACTGTTGGTGGTAATGCTGCTCCTCCTGGAAACCCAAAATGTTCAAGAAGCTGCCAAAGCGCTTCTCTGCTGCCTTGTGCGCTCCAACCGGGGTTCCCTTCCCCTGGGGGGCGGGGCTGCTCTGTACCCCCAAGGCCCTGCTGGCTTCTCTGAGGGTCAGACTCTCATGGGTCACCCTGTCCGACACTATGCAGAACTGGGTGCTAGCTAGGTTTGCAGCAGCTGCGTGAAGACTGAGGGATGGGGTCCTGGTTATTTTAGTGAAACTTGTATTAATAGTAGAGCCCCTTTGAAAAGTCGCAGAAACCCTTTCCACAGGTGAGCAGAGAGGCCCCGGGTGGAAGAGCCCACCGGCTGCACTGGGCTGCTCCCGTGACTCTGTGGGGCTCTGGGAAGCACAGGGAGACTGGTTGCTGGCAGGAGAGGGGAGCCCACCCTCTGATCTGCAGAATGCCCTCACCTAGTCCTGCTTCTCACATGCGTCCCTCTCTCAGGACCCTCGCAGAGGAGCGGGCTCTTTTTTTTCAGATGCAGGTCCGCCTTGCATTTGGACCTTCTCCTCACGAGCCCTCTGAACACGGGAGTGCAGTCTCCCTCATAAGGGGATAGTCACATCCAGGGACAACACGGCCCCTCAGACACATGCGTGCACAGCACTGGAAATGCGGACATAGCTTCCTCAAAACCAGCATACGCCGCAAGCCAGAGGCGCACGCACCCCTGCACTGTCCATGCGGGGCCTGTGTGGACCCTCGCGGGAGCACCCCTGCCTCCACCCCTAAGGCCCTTCTGCACGGGGCTTCCTGGAGGTCCTTGCCTGAACTTAAAGTCTCCTTCTCCTGGGGCCCTGGTGTCACAGAAGCCTTGCTTACACCTCCAACCATCCACATGCTGTATGTCTCAGGCCCGCTACACACTTCCAGCCTTAGCCAGGCCTCCTGGCTCCTTTCCTCTCTGCCTTTAAAAAAATTACTTTTGAAATATAGATCCCCGTGGTTTAGCTTCAAAAGATTGAGGTTGTACGATGATAAAACTTCCTTTCCAGCAATAATGCTTCCTTTCAGAAATACTCTGGGGCTGTGAGGGCACCCCCACACACACACACACACACTGATGGACATACATATTTGTTTTTTCTGTTTTTTTTGTTTTTTTGTGTTTTTTTTTTTCACATAAAGGGAGAACTATGTGGGGTTTTCCTCTGTCAGTGGCACCTGGTTTATGGCACCCCATCTTGTTTTTTGTTTGTTTGGTTTTTTTTAAATATATTTTATTGATTTTTTACAGAGAGAAAGGGAGAGAGATAGAGTTAGAAACGTCGATGAGAGAGAAACATCGACACGCTGCCTCTTGCACACCCCCCACCGGGGATGTGCCCTTGGCCGGAATTGAACCTGGGACCTTTCAGTCCACAGACCGACGCTCTACCACTGAGCCAAACCGGTTTCGGCTTGGCACCCCATCTTGTATCTTAGAGCGTCTTTGTCAGTACATGAGCAACTCTCCTTCCTTCCCAGGCGGACAGGGCACAGTGTTGGAATACATGTAATTTATTTAATATCCCCATCCCCCATGATTGTTTCTCTTGTGCTGCTGAACCGTGTGTCCTGGATGGCTCATCGGTGCTTCATCTGCGAAGATGTGAGGATGGTCACATGGGAAAGTCTTGAAACTGGATTTGTTCCCAGAGCCACATAACTGATAATAGTGGGTCCTCTGGGAAAGCCATGAAGATTAGCATTCTACCACTCGGGAAGAGTGGGGAAGGGTGGGGAGAGGTGAGACGGGTTGTCCCTCTGCCTCCACTCCCTTCTCCTATTGTGTTATCACACTTTTTTTTTTAATCTGAGGGTGAAGAATCTTGGGTATAATGTTGTTCTGAAATTTTCTCCCCATGAGTGAGCTGTATAGCTCCTTCATTTTATTGACTCAGTTTCTTAGACGTGGCACTCCCTGTCACCTTAACTCCAGTACAGGGTGGCGGGGTCAGTCCGGCCATCCTGACACACGCCCATCTCGCTGAGCCGCCAGCTCCCTAATCAGACCCGCAGTCTGTGGTGGCCAATCCTGGTGTGAGTGTCATGGCAGCGCCAGGCATGCGTGCCACAGATGAGAAAGCTAGCATCACTGAATTTCGTGCTGAAATGGTCCGTTTGGAAGTTCTCGGGCCCCAGCTTGACAGGGAATCTGAGGTCAAAGATTACAGTCTTCACAGGAAGCATGCAGCCTCCACCCAGAAGAGCTCGAAAGACTTGGGCAAGTGTTTTGTGCTCCTCAGCTGGTGAAGTTGAGGTTGTGTCCCGGAGGCTGCGTGCGTTTTGCTGGTGGTGTGGCTGTGGCTTGCCTGAGTGTCGTCCTCATGTCTGTGCAGAAAAGGCTACTCCCCTTTCATTCGATTTACACATTAAAATTAAAGCAATAGGAATGATCTACTGACGCCACAATTTTGAAACTTGACATTTTGCTGCAACATGAAAAATCATGACTCACTTTAGGGAAAACTGTCACCTCCCTGTCATGTCAGAGTTGTAACTTTATTCCTATTTATTTGTGTTTCCATTCATATTCATCTATCTGACTCCATGTATCTCTCTCTGTAACTCTCTCACTGCCCCCTCTCCCCCTAATGTTTCCTGCACTCCCTGTTCTGCGTCCAGCCATCATGTGCTCCGTGAAGCCGGACGGGATCCCGCAGCTGTGCAGAACGGACGAGATCGGGGAGCTCTGTGTGTGCGCGATTGCTACGGGCACGTCCTACTATGGCCTCTCGGGCATGACCAAGAACACCTTCGAGGTAGGTCTGGGAGCGCCATTGCCAGGTGCACAGATGTGAAAGATATGATAGTAATTTAAAAAAACAAACATTTTTAGAGTCATTAAAATGGTTGCACTTTCTCCTGTCAGTGTCAAAAAAGGGCAAATACAGTTTCTTAAAAATGGGACTTTTTAATATATTACTGTTTTTATCTTTGCCTGTTTAATAAGAGCACCAGGGACAGTGGGTGGGTGGAGGGATGAGAGCATATGGAGCACAGCCTCGCTGGTGGGGGAGTTAAGGTCCCCCTTCATGGCCTGTCATCCCAGGCCACACTTGGCCAGGTGTGAACAAGTGTGCAAGCTAAATAACTATCTCTGCAGCATGAGCAGGCAGGCGTATGTTAGGTGTGTGTGTGTGGTGAGTATATTATGCTGTGAGTGCACATGTGTGGGGGGAGTGCAGCATATACATGAGTGGTGTGTGCACACAGTTGATGTGTGTGTTCTGTGCACACACGTGTATCTTTAGTACAGGCCCACACACACATGTTGGCCTTGTGAGTGAGAGGTTGGGTGCACTCAGCTGCACCTCTGTGTCGTCAGAGTTTCTACCATTGCCCAGTGATGCCGACCCAGGAGGAGCACACCTGTGATGAAGTGGTCAGAGGAAAGCCTGAGTTGTTTGGGGATAAGTTTCTTAATGTTTAGAACTGTGGTTGTCGAATGAATGCAGATTCACATTTTCAAGACACATCTAAATAAAATCCCCATCTCCTTTTCTGTGCAATTCACCCACCAGGTTTATAGACAGGTATAGAATCTGAACACATGATTTACTTTCTTTATATTTTTTAAGTGTAGTTCCAATAAGGAAAACTATTTTAATGAATTGGGAACATTTCACAATTAAAAGATGCTACTTAAAATGCCCCTTGATTCTTTGTTTTTTAAAATATATGTTTTTATTGATTTCAAAGAGGAAGAGAGAGAGAGAGAGAGAGAGAGAGAGAGAGAGAGAGAGAGAGACATAAATGATGAGAGAGACTCATTGATAGGCTGCCTCCTGCATGCCTCACACTGGGGATCGAGCCCACAACTGGGCATGTGCCTGACTGGAAATCAAACCATGACCGCCTGGTTCATGGGTCTACACTCTACCACTGAGCCACACCAGCAGGCCCCATTTATCACTTTTATGCCCTGACATTATAAGCAGAATTAGTGTTTATTAGACTATTATTTGTGACCTCTACATATCACCTCTTAAGAGGCTCAGAAGCCATGGTAAGAAACCTGCCAAAGGCCCTGCATGTGGACCAGCAGGACCAAATTGTAGGGTGCTGGGTGGGCAGGGGAGGTGGCTTCCAGGTTTGTGTTATCTGCTGGCAGCAGCTGCCAGGCCCAGCTTTTCCAGCCAGGGCCCACATTAGGAGACACAGCTGAAGGGAAGCAGCCCCATGGGCTCCGAGGAGGATGGAGGAGGCAGGCACGGCTGGGCACTCACAGCGCATGCTTCCCCAGGTATTTCCTGTGACGAGCTCGGGGGCCCCGGTCAGCGAGTATCCCTTCGTGAGGACAGGCCTGCTGGGCTTCGTCGGTCCCGGGGGACTCGTCTTTGTGGTGGGCAAGATGGATGGGCTCATGGTGGTCAGTGGGCGCAGACACAACGCCGATGACATCGTAGCCACAGCCCTGGCCGTGGAGCCCATGAAGTTTGTTTACAGGGGAAGGTGAGTACACTGTCTGCAGTGAGCACAGTTACACTTTTTATATAAGATTGTATAAATTCCTTAAACTGATAGGACTCTGTGTACTCTTATGTAAAAGGAAGCAACTGGACTTGGTAACCTTTGAGATGCCATCGAGTTCTGAAATGTCCAGTTTTATGGAAATTTTCTGAGCCCCATAAATATATTTTCATTAACGTCTCCAAGTTAAATAAAAATATCCATTTGAGAAACATTATTTTTAGTAAAAAAAAAAAAAAAAAAAAAAAAAAAAAAAAAAAAAAAGCAACAAAAAACAGTAACAAAAAAACTATTCAGAGAGTCAAATATTCATCTTGGTGCAGGTCCTTCCAAAAGACCCAATGATGATAGATGAGGGACCAGTTTACACAGAACACTGGCTCCCACAACTCCCCTCCCCCTGACTGTGCCCCTGCCATGCTGGGCACAGGGTCAGTATTGGTGACTACAGTCCTGTGTTTTGCTAATTTGAAGAAAGCCATCAACTGCATTAGAACTTTCAGTGCTGCAAGCTAAGGGAATCGGAGAAATGGATACTGGATGAGGCATCGCCACTTTTGGGTTATTCTATACCTCTGAAAAGTGGCGCTGATGCTCGTGTCGCAATCTCCCATGCTTACGCGGAGCCTGCACATCTAGTAGAAAACTTATTTCACAAACGCAAAATTTCTCCTCATTTGGAGACTATTGCTTCACAGGTGCAAACACAAGCTGTGAATTGAATGGTTTTCTAAACTTCAGCAGTTCCGATAAATGCACCGAACTCCTTCTGCCGGTGCTGAGAGGCTTGTCACCAAACCTGAGGAATGGCCTTGGGGAATGCAGGCACTTCTAGCTCAAGCTTGGTCAGGCTCCTCCGCCCAGAGCTGCACTCTCGGTAGTAAGTGCCCACGACTCTGCCCTTCTGATGACTTTTCTTAAGCAGCCCTATGTGCTAGGAGCCCCCTCGACCTCTTTCAGTGGCTGTCAAGCTCCTGACTGCAGACCAGTCCTCCTACGAGCATCTCTGGCCTGTGCTCACTGTGCCTCCCCTCTGTCCCTGCAGAATAGCTGTGTTCTCGGTGACCGTGCTGCATGACGAGAGGATAGTGATCGTGGCCGAGCAGCGGCCCGACTCCACGGAGGAGGACAGCTTCCAGTGGATGAGCCGCGTGCTCCAGGTAGCCCTCCCCTGCCCTCCCCCAGGCTCAGGGCAGCCTTTGTAGAATTTGTTAGGATATGGCCAACTCTCGTCCACTGTGCTGCTGTCCCTGACTGTCACTCCATTTGGTCAGAAATTGCATCAACCCTGACACATTTGTGGGAGAGTAGGTGTTAGACCAAGATTAGTAATCAGGGTTTGCAAAACTGGCTCCTGCTATTCACGTGGGGAGGTGAAGAGTGTGTATTTTGGAAGTATATTTTTTTTCTCCAGACTTCCTTTCTCAGTGTGTGTGGTATCCCACAATCCCTCCGTAATGATGCAGCTCGGCAGCATTAGGCCCAGCAGCCCCTCTCTGGCCTCGACGCCTCCCACGGGCCGCGCCACGGCGCTGCACATGCTTCTGGGGCTATGGACAGTGTTTTGCACAGTCTGCACGGGGGCCTGATATCTGTTCACGGTACCTGTTCGAACACAGTCTCCTCTTGTGACTTCCAGGCGATCGACAGCATCCATCAAGTCGGGGTTTATTGCTTGGCCTTGGTTCCTGCAAACACCCTCCCCAAGACCCCGCTTGGTGGGATCCATTTGTCAGAAACAAAGCAGCTTTTCCTGGAGGGCTCGCTTCACCCCTGCAATGTCCTGATGTGCCCCCACACTTGTGTCACAAACCTGCCTAAACCTCGACAAAAGCAGCCAGGTATGCCCAGGGGCTGGGAGGGCTCATGTGGTGTCTCAGGTGGGACTCTGCAGCCCGTAGTGGTGGTGCCACACCCACTGGGCCTCGTGAATGGAGGCGATTCTCAGCTCTGGAGGAGAGAGCTTGTTCTCCACCAGCAGTGTTTTCTGCAGGCGGGTGGTGGAGTACAGGGCTCTGCTGGGCTGCAGATCCCCTCAGGGCGGGCCAGGGGTGCAGGACATCTGGAGTGAGGGGGTGCCCGTGTCCTGGACTTCCTTTCTGGGGCATCAGACCTCCATCTGCTATGGCCTCGGGGATGCACAGAATTTCTAGTCACGGTTTCCTCGTACACAAATGAGAATAATGCTTCCTTCCGTGTTTCATGGATTCCTTTAGGGATCAGAGCAGCTAACAGGTGGGAAAGTATTTGGTATTCTGTGAAGAATTCTGCAAACCGGTTTGTGACATTGTTGTGAGAGTGAGCATTTGCCTGTTGCTTTGCGGAGTAGGGGACACATAGTTATTTGTCATCTGACTTGCTCTTCCTGGCAGTGGAACTGGTCACACTCTTCCAGGTCACATAGGTATCAGTGGAAGGGAATTTACCTCAAGATGGTGCCTCGTGAGGAAGAAGGTCCCGGCATCTGGCTGGGACGTGCAGACAGATGTCAGAGGATGTTGGGGTGATGGAGTGTGTAGCCTGTTTCACATACTAACTCCATCTTGGGGATCACTAGGAGGGGGCGCTCTCTTCTCCTTTTACAAATGAGGAAAGTGCCTCACCCAGAGCTGTGGGACCAGAGTGCAATGGAGACAGACCTCGACCCAATGGCCATTTGCCCACCTGTGGAGTGGCAATCGGGGGAGACTATGGTGAAGCCCATTGGGTCATCGCAAGCCGCATGCCCATGTTAGCTATAGGGACCAACTGGACTCAATGTTCATACCGCAAGAGTGAGATTGGGTGAGGCAGGTGGTCCCTCGGTTAATGTAAGCAGAGGGGTCTTCCCACGAGGAGAGAGGTCAGGACTTGAGTCCAGGTCTGTGACTGCCCGAGGTCCCTGCAGCAGACGTCTGTGGAGCAGTCAGAAGGCAGCTTTGGTCTCTCCTAGGGAAAGGGAATTCTCTCACACAGCCTAGAAAGTCAGTTTGCAGGCATCACTACTCTTGTTTTTGTCCTACTTCTTTCTTGTTATTTTCTCATATTCCAGATTTCCTGAACTGATATTCCTCCCTATTTTCCCCCTCACCTTCATTTCTCCTCTCAGTCCCTGATGTATGTGATTGCTGCAACCAAGCGCAGAGTTGCGCCAACTGAAGTCTTTCTACTTTAAATTCTGCGGGGGCTCTGGCTTCATGTGGGATGAGCACAGGTCCTCTTTGTCTCCTGTTGTCTCAGGCATGGCCTGCCCTGGGGACGCACTGTCTGGGCGAGGTTGTTTGGGTGTTGAGGGTGTTGGGCTCTCCGGGTCCTTGCACACTCCAAGGTGACTGGCACATCTCTGTCCTGCTCACCTTTACTCATCCTCAGACACCCTCGATCTAGTGTCCCCAGGCATGCAAGTGTGGAGGAGGTGGTGGAGCCCCCAGGTCAGCCGTGTGACAGGAGAATTCAGGACAGATGTCTATGGACAGGGATCACTTGCAAGTGCATGTGATTCCGGAAGTATGGGGTGCAGCTCACCTGCCAGATGTCAAGAAACCTGAAAGGAGAGACGGCCAAGGGGGAAGGAGGGAGTTGGGAAAGGTGACTGAGAGATTTGGGGTGCTCTAACACTACAGCATGGTGAATAGAGCTTATAGGCACTGATAAATGTAGGGAAAGAATTCTGTATTGATATTTGGTATCCCACCTGTTCTTGTTAAATATTTAGAGGTTAGGTAAGTCTGTCTCTTTATTTTTTCTTTATTTTTTAAAATATATTTTATTGATGTTTTACAGAGAGGAAGGGAGAGAGAGAGAGAGCTAGTAACGTCGATGAGAGAGAAACATCGACCAGCTGCCTCTTGCACACCCCCTACCGGGGATGTGCCCGCAACCAATGTACATGCCCTTTGACCGGAATCGAACCCGGGACCTTTCAGTCCCCAGACCGATGCTCTACCACTGAGCCAAACCGGCTTCGGCAAGTCTGTCTCTTTAAAAAAAAAAAAAAAAGGCAGTTTTTTAGCAAACATTAAACGGCAGCTGTGAGTTGCCATTCTTCGCTCAGTGGATGATCTGTGGTGTCCCTTAGACAGATGACATTTCCCTGAGGCCTCCATTTCCATGAATTCAGGAAGGGAAATGGACTCTGATTTCCACAGCACCCTTGGAATAAACATCTATGACTCCAAACGAGTACTCAGCAGCCAAAGTGCACATTTAGTGAGGCCCTTTATGGGTGAGGGTGATGCTAGATGCTTGAAACAGAGCCCCTAAGATGTTGATCATTTGTAGACAGCTTAATTGCCCTTTAACTCAGCTAACAACACTATTGCTGTAACAGTATCTTAATTGAGTACAAAACAGTTAAAAGACCTTTCACCCATCAGTTAGGCTAGCAACAAAATGATAAAAGCAGCTCCCAGCTCTAAAGTTCCCTGGATGTATTTGATCAGGACAGTGGTGAAACTGGGAGGAATGGCCAGGGGGAAAACGCTGTCCTCGCATACACCTGCCCTGTCCCCTGCACACACAGGCCAGGCAGGAATCCAACAGCACAGAGCTGGAGTTGCTGGCTTGTAGATTTGTAAATCTGTAAGTGGGAGCGTGGGAAGAGAGCAAGTTTGAGTTCATCTCAATCTTATATGTTTGCATTCTGAGGAGTAAGGATGTAGGAGTGTTTTGCACACGCCCCCTCCAGTCAACAAAGTCGAGAGCCTCCGTTCTCCGTAAAGAATGAATTTTGCAAATAAAGCAGCAGGAGAACTACTTGTCTCCCCACAACATTAGGAACATAGAAACTCGTAAGTCTGTGTGCAGAATGAGACACGTAAAGTCAGCCGGAGAAGTAAATTCTCAGCGAAGCGAGACTGGACTCAGAAACAGAGAAGCCCTAAATAGGCACCTTGGGATCGTGCTATCCCCGCAGAGCAGTGCTTTTCCAACAGTAGTTTGGATTCTTCAAAAATTATGGAGAAGCCTTCAGTTTAGGCCAGTTTCCAAGTTGGCTTCTTAGGAGAACTGTCCTGCCCAGTCTCCACAGCCAGGAAGAATGCTGGCACTTTGCCGCAGATTCTAAAGCTGGGGAACTGGTGACAGCTTTAGAACAGCAAGGCTGTGGACCGGGCGCTTTCTCTGCGCAGCAGCTACCTCACTCCAGCCACACAGCAGTGCCCTCCACTGCCTGACATTCTTCTTCATAGTTTCTTTATTGAGTGTATTGGAGTACAATTCTGTAATGCATCATCTGGGTACTGTTTTATATGCTCACCACCCAGCGTCAGGTCTCCTTCCATCACCATTTAGCCCCTTTACCTTCTCCCACCTCCTCCACCCCCTTCCCTCTGGCAATCATACTGTTGTCTGTGTCTATGAGGTGCTTGTGTGTTTTGTTTTGCTTAATCCCTTTACCTTTTTCACCTTCCCTCTGACAGCTGTCTGTTCTGTTTCTATGCATCTTTTTCTATTTTGTTTCTTAGTTTATTTTGTTTGTTAGATTCCACCTACAAGTGACATCATTGGTACTTGTCTTTCTCTGACTAGCTTATTTCACTTAGCAAATACTTTCCAAGTCCATCCACACTATCGCAAAGGGTAAGATTTCCTTCCTTTTTTACAGATGAGTAGTATTTCATTAAGAGCTAAGAAAAGAAATGTAGTTGGTCCCAAACTACCACACATAAAAATGCAAACATATTTAGCTGAGTATGTAAGTCATGCTCTATGATTACACGGGAACCAGCACCAAGGCTCTTACAAATTGCAGAAATCTGTGTCATAGGCTGTTCCCCACAGTTCAGTCCTGCCTTGTAGCATCCTGACATCTACCACACAGCTGTGGGAACGTGACTGTTTCATGACAGACCAAATTCTGGACAGCCACGCATCTGCAGAGTGTGTTCAGTGGTTAGAGTGTTCCACTTGGACAGTCATCTAAAGCAGCAGTCGCCAACCTTTCGGACCTCATGGACCACTGGTTGGCGACCACTGATCTACAGGATAGTAGTTATTCACCCCCTGCAGTCCTCATCACTCCAGTGAATGCCAGATGACTGCTGGGGTGGTTGCCATGGAAATAGTGCATGTTATAGACCATGTTTAGTATGGTCACACCCCTCAGCCTAAATTTTAAAACTTGTGTCTTAGCTTCAAACTAACAGCTGTTTATGTGCAATAAGTGATGCAACATATATCCAGATTTCTAAGCCTGTAGCTTGGCCTTCATCAAAAGTTTAGCAAGATTAGGACTGAGTAGTGGCCTTCAACCTGAATTGTATCAAATCACGGATTAAATGCTAATGCCATCTTTGTTACTTAAAACTCCTTTACCAAACTTCTGATAAATATCTCTCACCTTTTCTTTCTCACTTCCCTCTCCTCCTTCCTCTTTCCTCACATACTTGCATGCTCATACTCATGCACTGTCACACTTGCTCATACACAGCCACATACTGGTACACTCTCACTCACACTGGCATGTTCTCCTGGAACTCTTTAACATTTTCCTAATAAGTGTATGTGTCTTGATTTATATGCACGTGTTTAAGGAAAAGAAACCGTTATGAACAGTATCATTTTCAGAAGACGGAGGCCATTGAGGGTTTCTTGAAGTCAGAAAATGTGGAAGCGGTACTCCAGCTTTTTAAGAAACCTTTTTTCTTTTTTTTTCTTTTTTTTCCTTTTTTTCTTTTTTTCATTAAGAAATAAAAGGAAAGCTGCCAGAATAGATTTCTGCATTTCTTATCTGAAATGTGTCATAAGCCATGAGAAGCCTGGTGATGGCGTTGGTAACGGGCTTGAAGGGAACTGGGACTGCACAGGAGCCTTTGGTTTATTCCACGTGTCTGTGGGCCTGACAGAACTTAGCCCTTTCTGTAGATGAAATACATGGACAAGTGACTGTGTCACTTCCTTCAACAGGATTACACCCCAAGTCTATCCCAAAAGGCATTTATTAAAAACAAGGTTTGTTCATTCAGCTCTCAGGGTGTGTAATCGCACCTGGAACCAGACCCACAAGCCAGGAGTCTCACTCTTCAGCAGTGAAATATGCCATGCTTCAAATTCTGTATTTGTCTTGGGTAATGTTTTATCATCACTAATGTGAGGAGACTTGACAAGGAAGCATCCCCTTAACTGGAAAGTAAAGGCCGTGGGCTGGGCGGCACTGGGGGAATTTGTGATCATGACATTTCTTTTCTTTCTTTTTTTTTTTTTTTTTAAATATATTTTATTGAATTTTTACAGAGAGGAAGGGAGAGAGATAGAGAGCTAGAAACGTCGATGAGAGAGAAACATCGACCAGCTGCCTCTTGCATCCCCCCTACCGGGGATGTGCCCGCAACCAACGTACATGCCACTGACCGGAATCGAACCCGGGACCTTTCAGTCTGCAGACCGACGCTCTACCACTGAGCCAAACCGGTTTTGGCGATCATGGCATTCTGTCAACCCTTCATTGAGGTTAGACTTGCCATTATCATCATCGTCGTCATCATCATGACCTTTCTGAAACCCTACTGTAATAAAGTTGTTTTTCAAAGCCACATCTTTGAAAGGATTTCCCTGGAGTAAGCTCTTTACCAAGGTAGGCAGTCATGTTTGGGAGAATTTCACATGTGTTTTCCTCACGCATGTTTCTTTCCAGAAATCGGCCCTGCCTCTGTGATGGTGGGGAACCTGGTCTCTGGGAAGAGGATTGCACAGGCCAGTGGAAGAGACCTGGGTCAGATAGAGGACAATGACCAGGCCCGGAAGGTGAGAGCAGAGGGCCTGCCTTTGCTGGGTCCCCACCTGTCACCCTGATGCTGAATTACAGGAGCACTGGCTCTGCTTCCTACCTACCTACCTCCGCTTCCTCTTCACCTTGTTTCTGCAAGAAAGACCCATATCCTATCTAATAAAAGAGTAATATGCAAATTCTCTGCCACACCCACCAGCCAGTCAGGATTGAGTATGCAAATTAACTCAACTAAGATGGCTGCAGCCACGGAGTGAACAAGAGGCTTGGGTTTCCCCGACAATGGAGAAAGCCAAGCTTCCGCAGCCTGGCCTGCCTTGGCCTTCGCTCAAGGCTACAAAGTTTAAATTGTAGAAGATAAATAAACCCCAGATACCAGAGTCTCCACTTGGGTCGCTGGGGGGCATAGTCAGCCTACAAACCACCATATGCCCCTCGCCCAGGCGGCCCTACACCCCAAGGGAACCCTACCCTGATCCAGGATACCCTTCAGGGAAAACCAGCTGGCCCCCACCTGGGCACAGACCTCTATCCTATCTAATAAAAGAGTCATGTGCAAATTGACCATCACTCCAACACACAAGATGGCTGCCCCCATGTGAATACAAGATGGCCACCACAAGATGGCCAGCAGAGAAGGGCAGTTGGGAGGGACCATGCCTGCAAGGGAGAGCAGTTGTGGGCAATCAGGCCAGTAGGAGAGGGCAGTGGGGAGGGTCCAGGCAGTTTGGGGCGAACAAGACTGCTGGGAAGGGCAGTTAGGGGTGACCAGTCCAGCAGAGGAGGGAAGTTGGGGGCAACCAGGCCTGTAGGGGAGGGCAGTTAGGGGCAGTCTTCATAACTCTTAAGAGTCACCAAAAGGTGGTCCCACTCTGTATAGCTACCAGGAAATGTGACAAAAATCAACCATTTGAAATATTGGGACTTTGGTAACATATAGAGTGATATTGAAAGCAGTGACCATCGTGTTTCTCCTTCCGGTACACCTGAGTCAGTGACGTGGACTGACTGCAGGCCTGGTGCTTCCTGAACCCTGACCTGAGGTCTGAGTCTGCGCGATGCACACTCTGGGATTTGTGGTGCCTTTGGATGACATAGGCGTGGCCATTTTAAACAACACATTTAAGAGAGCTCATGATACCACAAGACAGAGCTGACCGCCCTGCAACCCAGAAACCACATGGCATCTTCAGGATACCCCAGGAGAGGTGTCGGTGTCAGCTGCTCCATCTGTAGGGACGAGGGTGCAGTTCTCCCGGTGTCAAAAAACGTTTCCATGTATGAACCTAGTCACAGCAGAGCACTGAGCTTTATGTCCTGCATTTTATGTCCACCATATCTGTCAGCATCTTCAATCCTCTGTGGAGATACCCCTAAAGTACTCAGACAGACTACGCCCATTTAAATGTTGAGATGAACTCCCAGTCTAGGGGACTAGTCCTATCGTCTTTGTGCTTTGTTCCAGTTCCTGTTCCTGTCAGAGGTCCTGCAGTGGAGGGCCCAGACCACGCCCGACCACGTCCTGTACACGCTGCTCAACTGCAGGGTGAGCTGCTGCTGCTGCTCCCTCGGGGCCGCATCCTCTGCTCTTTCTCATCATGCTGACCCCATCCTGTCCCTTCAGTCTTATATGAATTCCTCTTAGTTATTTGTTGCAGTTTTGACTGAGACTTTTTCAATTAAGAAAGATTTCTTTTTTGTTTGTTTTTCTGATTTATTTTTTTGCAGGGGCTGAAGGATTGCTTTTAAATATAAGTGTTCATGCATATCTCTCTCTCTCTCTCTCTCTCTCTCTATATATATATATATATATATATATATATATATACACACACACACACACACACACACACACATATACATACATATATATATATGTATATGTATATTCTAGCAATTTTTTGTAATATTTCTCCCCAAAATGAGTTAAATGAGTAATGAATGATTTCTGCAACCAAGAACAATTACAGCCAAAACCGGTTTAGCTCAGTGGATAGAGTGTTGGCCTGCAGACTGAAAGGTCCCAGGTTCGATTCCGGTCAATGACATGTACGTTGGTTGCGGGCACATCCCCAGTAGGGGGTGTGCAAGAGGCAGCTGATCGATGATTCTCTCTCATCGATGTTTCTAACTCTCTATCCCTCTCTCTTCCTCTCTGTAAAAAAATCAATAAAATATATTTTTTTTAAAAAAGAACAATTACAGATCTGTGGGTTATTTACATCTTTATTTTATTATTGAGCTACTTTTGTGTAAGTAAGTTGTGTTTTAATTATATAAATTTTCATTCTTAGAAATGAAACCCATTTCTATTTTATAATGAAAATACTTTAATTAAAGTTTTAGTTTTATTTTAACTTTTAAAGTAAAATTAAAATTTACCTTAATTTACTTTAAATTTTGTGACCTGTCTTCCCATCCCCTGACCCCATGTTTAATCACTTGCTGAAGCTAGACACTGGGTCTTTGGGGAAAATGCGTTCACTGGGAATGCCTCAGACCCTAACAGGAGCTTCATTAGAAATAACAGAAAGTCAGATGGGTGAGCTGAAGGTCAAAGCCATGAGCGTGGAGAAAGGGTGGGCCTCTGGCAGAGTTCCTTGAGACGCAGCCCGCTGTTTGCGGAGGCTCTGATGGGGACACACTACATCCTGACCATTCAGGGTGGCATTGGCTCAAGCATCTGCATCCCACCCTCCCCAACACATAGGCACACTTACCATGGCACTCAACCTGCCCAATCATTGCTATCATTAGCACTGTAATTTCCACTTACATCAACCTGCTAGTTGAACATTGTCCAATAGAAATATAATGCAAGCCACACATATAATTTTATATTTTCTAAAGGTAACACTTAAAAAGGATAAAAGAAATTTATTTTAAGAATTTTGCTTAATATATCCAAAACATTGTCATTCCAACCCATGACCTACTTCATCGCCAGCACTTGCCTCCTTCTCCCACCCTCCCCTCACCACCCATGGCATTGTAGTTTGTTAACTGAGAATTCTGCTCCTTGATCACAGCTCATTTGAGATGGGGAACCATTAGTTCCTGCCTGAGTAAGGCTTCCTGTTGGCTGCATCTCTGTCCTACACGACAGTGCTCTGGACAGGATCGAGTTGTTTACAAGATTTATAGTTAGGAAGTGAGACGGAAAACTTACATTCACATTCTTAGACATGGTTTACATGCAAAAGACCATCTGTTATGTTTTTAAATTTATTCATTTTTTTTTCATCTTCATTGGAGGAGGATATTTTTTTCATTGATCTTCAGAAAGAGTGGGGGGAGAGAGAGAGGCCATCCATGTGAGAGAGACACATTGATTGGTTGCCTCCCACACTGCCCCAACCAGAACTGGGGATCGAACCTGCTACCAAGCAAGACATGTGCCCCTGACCAGAATCAAACCCACAGCTCTTTGGTCTGCAGGCCGACTCTCTAACCACTGAGAAAAACTGGCCAACGCTGTTTATTTTTTTAATGGAAACATAAGCCAACTCTTTTTAAAAAATATATATTTTATTGATTTTTTTTTACAGAGAGGAAGAGAGAGGGATAGAGAGTCAGAAACATCAATGAGAGAGAAACATCCATCCACTGCCTCCTGCTCACCTCCCAATGGAGATGTGCCCACAACCAAGATACATCCCCAAAGAATTGAGTCTGCAGGCCAATGCTCTATCCACTGAGCCAAACTGGTCAGGGCCATAAGCCAACTCTTAATTTTTCTTTTTACTTGTAGCAGCTTCTTTAAAATTTTAAACTAATAAATCCTATTTGGCTGTTTCTTTAATATTTTTAGTGTAATTTAATTTAATGTAAAACATTAAAATAGTGGCAGATATGCCATCATTGACACTGAGATGTATTGTCTATTAATCTTACTGCCCATAGCAGTTATACTTAAGACCCAGAATAAATAGGTTGATTTTTTTTTAATGTTTACCTATGTTAGGTCAAGTAATTATTTTTTTTAATATTTCTTGTGAGTATAAGTATATCCAGATGCTGCTTAGGTGCTGTACTTTCTGGCTAGTAGGCAGGGAGGAGGGTCATTGCTGCTGGCTCTGGGACTTGAGGGGGTGATGAATACATTCTAAAACTGACTGTAGTGGTGGCACAACGGTGAATGTACTAACAAATACTTAATTGTACATTTTAAATAAATGAGTTGTATGGTATATAAGCTGTATCTCACTAAAGCTTCCCCACTCAGGGTACAATAGCAAACTCGCTGACATGTGTCCAGCTGCATAAGCGAGCGGAGAAGATAGCCGTGATGCTGATGGAGAGAGGGCGCCTGCAAGATGGGGACCACGTAGCTCTAGTCTACCCACCAGGTAAAAAGGCCGGACCAGCAGCTGCATGAAACAGCTTGTGGCACCTGTGGGGACTTGATGTCTGGAGTTGTATTGTCACCGAGAATTGCTTACTTGTCTAGTTCCTGCCACTTGCGGGCGCTACTCTGCATGCTATAGGGCTTTTAGGGGTATAAATGTAGCAATATTTCACAAAGACTCTCATATCTCAACTTGTTTATTAGATATCTGCAGCATTTAATCAATAGTAGTTAAGTTGAGAAATTACAGGAATTAAACTTACAGGCTGCTAAAAGAACAGGCCAAGTGAAAGTTAGTGCTGACATTTAACATAACCCCCAGGAAGAGGAAATACTGTGTCTAAGGTATTGTCCACTTAACCTTTTGACTTTTCCAGGCTAGTATTTCTGCTGATAGGGATGACAGCCATTAAATGGTTTGGTTTGTTTCAAGCAAAAACTTCTTATTTTCTTCTTGTGTAGGAATAGACCTTATCGCAGCATTTTACGGTTGCCTGTACGCAGGCTGTGTGCCAATTACCGTCCGCCCCCCACACCCACAGAACATAGCGACGACGCTGCCCACCGTGAAGATGATTGTGGAGGTACCACCACCTGGAGTGTCTGGGCGCTTCCTCCTGCCCTGGACCTGAGAGTCCGGCTCTCCACCAGAGCTGGGCCTTCGGGGGAGGGGCTGGCTGTGGGATTATGTGGGAGTCTTCAACCCAAGTGATGGGGCAGCATGTGGCCTTTGCCCTCAGGGATCTACCGAGTGCTGGAAGCCAGAGCCCAACTTTGTATGGAATTAGGAGCTAGAGGGCAGCCTTGCCTGATACCTAGAGAAAGCAGCTCCCCAGAGTGGGCGTCCCTACAGGCCCCGCCCCAGTAAACTAGATCCAGTGAAAAACACCCATTTTGTATCATTCTTTTGTCATGTTTATAAATGTCCTATTTGAAAGCATAGGTTTATTTTATTTTTTTTGTGTCAGGGGAAGTTTAAGAGGGCTAGGAAAGTATTTTCTGTTTGGAGGAGGAACCACAGGAGACATTAGTTTGGAGACCCCACAAATACTTTTTTGTTGTTATGTTGGAGTACTTTCATAGTCATTATTCCAGTTAGAAAATATGTGGTTTTTGTGCACATATTTGGCATTTCCAGTAGAACAGCCAATGGTGTCAGTAGTGAGGTTAGAAGCTTCTTTCTGAGTCTGATCTTAACACTGGATCCCACTCAGCTATAGACATTTTCAGGGACCTCAGTGCCCGCAAGCTCTGTGTGGCGCTTTGTGGTCAGATTCCCAGCTCTCTTGTACCTATGCTGGCCAGTGCTCCTCACAAGGAGCTGTGTCCCTGGTAGTGCAACCTGCTCTGAAAGCCACACAGCCGCAGCATACAGAGCAGACACATGTGCAGTGAGGATTCACCTGTGGCTTACCTTCCTTCATCCTTTCTATTCTCTGACTCTCAGGTGAGTCGATCGGCCTGTTTAATGACAACACAACTGATCTGTAAATTGTTACGGTCCAGGGAGGCAGCTGCAGCCGTCGATGTCAGGGCATGGCCCCCAATACTGGACACAGGTCAGTCCTCAAACTAGCTAGATGCAGTTCCTTCTCTGCTTTCCCATTACATCAGATGTGCTAATAGCTTTGCTCTGCTCTCCAGATGATTTGCCAAAGAAGAGGCCAGCCCAGATCTACAAACCCTCCAACCCAGACACACTGGCTTACCTGGATTTCAGTGTGTCCACGACTGGAATGTTAGCTGGAGTGAAGGTGAGGATGCGGTCTGCCCAATGTGCAGTAAGCTATAAAATGTGTGGACACTTCAGTAGTAACCTAAGCTGACTGATTCTTTCCAAATGTTCCAACTTTTTTAAAAATGTAAACACAGCCTGACTAGTCCCTACTGAAAAGCTGCACAGGTTTTTCTTTCCTGCCGATTCTCAAATCCAAATATTATTTGTTATAAAACTGCACAAGAGCTTCTTGATTTTTAAGGGATCAGTTATCACTTGCCAGAGGGCTGCTCACTGCAGCTGCTGTGACCCCTTTGCCTATGTTGTGCCCTCTGGATTAGGGCCCTCCAGGCTCAGGAAGCCCTTTCCCTCTTAGCGCCTCTGGGGTCTGACTGCTGAGTTTGCACAATTTACACCCCAGTTTTTCTTATTGTAGTAAAATACACATAACATAAGTTTACCATCTTAGGCAATTTAAGTGCATAGTCCAGAGGTATTAAATGCATTCAAAAGCTGTGTTGCCATCACCCCTGCCCATCCCCCTAACTCTTCTTCTTGTAAAACTGAAATTCTCTCCTCACTTAACACTAAGTGTTAAGTGAGGAGAGAATAAAATGATTATTGGACAGTGAGCATCTTCCCCACCGTGCTCTCTCAAACCCCAGAAAGCACCATTCTTCTTTCTCTCTCTCTCATTTTTATATTCTACACTAGAGGTCTGGTGCACTAATTTATGCACCCGTGGGGTCCCTTGGCCTGGCCAGCGGTTGGTCCCATTCCGGACCAGCAGGCTGCGGGGAGGGACCTTGGGAGATTGGCCAGCTGCAGGAGTTGGCTATGGGAGCACACCGACCACCAGGGGGCAGCTCCTGCATTGAGCTTCTGCCTGCTGGTGGTCAGTGTGTGTCAAAGCTACTGGCCGATAGTCTGGTCATAACAGTTGCTTAGTCTTTTATTTATAGATAGATAGATAGATAGATAGATAGATAGATAGATAGATAGATAGATATAAATACCTCATGTAAGTGGAAGCATATAGTATGTGTCTGGCTTATTTCACTCAACATACTGTCCTCATCTTTGTAATAGCATGTGTCAGAATTCCTTTCTTTTTTTTTCAAACCTCACCCAAGGATATGTTTTTTTCATTCATTATAGAGAGAAAGGAACATTGATTGGTTGCCGACCAGAGATCGAACCCACAACCTGAGTATGTGCCCTGACTGGGAATTGACCCCATGATCCTTTGATGCATGAGATGACACTCCAACCACTGAGCCATACCAGTCAGGGCTGTCAGAATTCCACTTTTATTATTCCATTGCATGTTTATACAACATTTTGCTTATCCACTCATAACATTGGTAGACAGTTGCCATGCTTGCATATTTTAGCTGGTGTAACTAATGCTGCTGTGGATATAAATGTGTATATATCTGTTTGAGACACTATTTTCAGTTCTTTTGGTATGTACCCAGAAGTAAGAATTACTGGATCATATGATAATTCCATTTGTAATTATTTGAGGAACAATCATGCTGTTTTCCACAATGTCTGTACCATTTTACCTTCTCACCAGCAGTGCATAAAGGTTCCAAATTCTCAGCATCCTCACAAACACTTGTTTATTTTAAAAGTGGGCATCTTAATGGGTGAGATTATATCTGATTATATTTTTGATTTGTATTTTCCTAATGATTATTGGACAGTGAGCATCTTTTTATGCAATTATTGGCCATTTGTGTATCTTCTTTGCAGAGATGTCTAGTCAAGTCTGTTGCCCATTTAAATAAGTTGTTTTGTGGTTGAGTTTTAGAAGTTCTCTATATATTTTGGATATTAATCCCTTACCAGATAAGAAATTTTTAAATATTTTCTCCTGGTCTTTGGGTTGACTTTTTTTTTTTTTTTACTCTATAGACAGTGTCTTTTGATGCACAAGATTTTTAATTTTTATTGAATTCAACGTTGTCTATTTTTTTTTTTGTTGGTGGTGGTGCTTGTGTCTTTGTTGTAATATCAAATAAAATATTGCCAAATCCAATGTCAGAAAGATTTTGTCCCATTCTTTTGTCTAAGAATTTTATTGTTTTAGGTCTTACATTTATGTCTTTGATGCATTTTGTGTTAATTTTATATCCAGTGATAGGTAAGAATCCAGTTTTATTCTTTTACATGTGGATATCCAGTTGTCCCAGAACCATCTGTTAAATTGTCCTTTACCCAATGAATGGTCTTGGCACACTTGTGGAAATTTTTGACCATATATAAAAGGGTCTGTTTGGGTACTATTTTATTCCATTGCATTGTGTCTGTCTTTATGCCAGTACCACACTGTTTTGATTATTGTAGCTTTGTAGAAAGTTTTGAAATCAGGAAGTACAGAACTTCCAGCTATGTTCTTTTTCAAGATTGTTTTGGCTATTCAAATTTTACTGCGATTCTATATAAATTTTACAATGAGCTTTTTTTATTTCTGCAAAAAATATTATTGAGATTTTTTTTAAATAGAAATTGAATTGAATCAGTATTGTTTTAAGGGAGTACTAGGTTGTATCTCTGACTATAGGATATGTTTCCATTTATGTCTTCTTTAATTTGTTTCAGAAATGGGCTATAGTGTGCATTGTATAAGTCTTTCACCTCATTGATTAATTAATTCTTAAGTATTTTATTCTTTATGCTATTGTAATGAGAACTGTTTTAATTAACTTTTCAGATTTTTCATTTAGTGTATAGAAATGCAACTGACTTTTTTCTGGTAATTTGCTGAATTCATTTATTATTTGTGACAATTATTTAGTGACATCTTTAGGGCTTTTTGCATATAAGATCATTTCATCTATGAACAGAGGTATTTTTATTTCTTCCTTTCCAATTTGGATGCCTTTTGTTTATTTTTTTCTTATCTAATTGCTTGGCTAAAACTTCTAGTACTATGTTGAATGTAAAGGGTAATAGTGGACATCCTTGTCTTGTTTCTCATCTTATAGAGAAAATTGTCTTTCACAGTTGGGTATGATATTTGCTGTAGGTTTTCATATATTGCGTTTATTATATTGAGATACTTTCCTTCTATTCCTAGTCTGTTGAGTGTTTTTATGATGAAAGGATGTTAAATTTCTTCAGATACTTTCCTGCATCAAATGAGATGATCATGTGTGTTTTTTCTCCTTCATACTCTTAATATGAAGTATTACATTCATTGACTGTCATATGTTGAGCCATCCTTGGCATTCTAGGAATAAAGCCTACTTGGTTATAATGTATAAGCTTTTTATTGTGCTTCTGAATTCCATTTGTTACTATGCTCAATTATATGTTGAGGATTTTATCCCAGTGTTCATAAGGCATTTTGATCTATAGTTTTCTAGAAGAGTCTTTGTCTGGTTTTGGTACCAGAGTAATGTTAACCTCATAGAATGGTTTAGGAAATGTTCCCTTCTCTTCAGTATTTTTGGAAAAGTTTGGGAAAATTTGGTATTACTTTTTCTTTAATGTTTGGTAGGATCACCTGTGAAGCCATCAGGTACAGGGCATTTCTTTGTTGGATTTTTTTTTTTTTTTCTGATTTGATCTTTTTACAAATTAGAAGTTCATTCAGATTTCACATTACTCGTGATTTAGTCTTAGTAAGTTTGATGGTCCTTTTTTTAAAAATATATGTTATTGATTTTTTCACAGAGAGGAAGAGAGAGAGATAGACAGCTAGAAACATCGATGAGAGAGAATCATCAATCAGCTGCCTCTTGCACACTCCCTACTGAGGGTGTGCCCGCAACCAAGGTACATGCCCTTGACCGGAATCAAACCTGGGACCTTTCAGTCCACAGACCGATGCTCTATCCACTGAACCAAACCGGTTTCGGCTGGTCCTTCATTTTTAAAAAGAAAATATGTTTTGTTATTTCAGAGAGAAGAAAGGAGGAGAGAGAAATAGAAACACTGATTGGCTGCCTCCTGCATGCTCTCTATTGGGGATCGAGCCTGCAAACTGAGCATGTGCCCTGACCAGGAATCAAACCTGCAACCTCCTGGTACAAGGGACAATGCTTAACCAACTGAGCCACACTAGCTGCGTTTGTATTCCCTCTTGATAGTTTGTATTTCAAATTTCATGAAATGGAATTTTTTTTTATTTCATGTAGGTTGTACAGTTTGTTGGTGTATGATTATAGTACTCTCATAATTCTTTTTATTTCTGTGGAATCAGTAGTAAATGTCTCAAATTTCATTCTCGATGTTAGCAATGTGGATCTTCTCTCTTTTTTTCTTAGCCCATTGACACTTATCAATTTTGTTGAGTTTTTCAAAGAATTAACTTTTAGTTTTATTGATTATCTCTACTATTTTTTATTTGTTTATTTGTTTATCCTGCTCTGATTTTTATTATTTCTTCACTCTGCTAGCTTTAAGTTCTCCTTTTCCTTATTTCTAAAGTTGTAAAGTTAGGTTGTTGATGTGAGGTCTTTCTTGTGTGTATGTGTGTGTTTTTTTAATGTAACTGTGTATAGCTATAAGTTTATGTCTGAACACTGCTTTTCCAGTGTCCCATAAGTTTTAGTATTGTGTTTTCATTTTTACTTGTGTTTAATTATTTCCTGATTTTCCTTGTGATTTCTTATTAGATCCATTGGTTGTTTTCTGACTGCATTGTTTGAATTCCACAAATTTGTGGGCAGTTTTCCTCCTGTTTCCATTCCTAACTTTATCCTGTAGTGAATAGAGAAGATACTTTGTGTATCTATTTTTTAAAGCTATTGAGGCTTACTTTATGGCCTAACATATGGTTTATCTTAGGAAATAATCCAAAGACTCTGGAGAAGAATGTGTATGCTGTTGTGGTTGATTGGGGTTTTCAGTGTGTTTAAGTTTTTTCCCTTTTTTAAAAAAAATTTATTATGGTGACACTGGTTAACAAAAATTATACAGGTTTCAAGTGTACAATTCCACAACACATCTGTACACTATATCGTATGTTCACCACCCCAAGTCAAGTACCATTTATAGCCCCTATACCTTCCTCCACCTTCCCCA